TTCAGTTCTAGTTCAGTTCTAGTTCAGTTCTAGTTCAGTTCTAGTTCAGTTCTAGTTCTGTTCTAGTTGAGTTCTAGCTTAGTTCTAGTTCACTTCTAGTTCAGTTCTAGTTAAGTTCTAGTTCAGTTCTAGTTCAATTCTAGTTCAGTTCTAGTACACTTCTAGTTCAGTTCTGATTAAATTTTAGTACAGTTCTAGTTCTTTTCTAGTTCAGTTCTAGTTCAGGTCTACATCTGTTCTAGTTCAATTGTATTCCTGTTTTAGTTCAATTCTATGAATATTAAATTATTATCAGAATTGTACCCTAAAAATAGGTGGGTGTCAGTTAGTTAAAAACTAACGAGATCCAAAAGCATTCTTTTAAATTTCTGAAAATTCAAACTATAAATTTCCGCACATAACTAACTGATTTTCATTAAGATTATTGAACACCTTAAACAAATCCCACTTTAAGTAAAAATTACCAAAAACATAGTTTTCACTAACAAACAAAAATTTGTAATTCAATCAACGATATAAATCATACCATATCAATGGCTTACCATACATATCAAACATCAACCCCACTCACTACACAAAAAAAAAAACTTATCTTTCTAAATATAGTATCGCTACGATTATGAGGGTTGCCTTAACTTCAAATCCATAGACTTTCACTTTTAATATGTTGACAATTTCACTCTGTTTAGCAAAACTTTATTTGAACAACGTACTAAACATTTTCTAACAAAAATTTCTTTAATTTGTGTAATGAAGCTTTGCAAAGTCTTATAAAAATCATGAGAGTGTAAAAGAAAGCAACAAAATGTTCAGTCAGTCAGTGGTTTTTATATTACAAATTAACTTGCATCATTTAACCGTAATTAGTAAATGAGATGATGACAGTTAGATAGATGAAAACAAAAATAAAACACATGGCGAATAAAATATGATTGGATTGGGGATTGACATTAAAGTGTTATTGTATTTTCTTTACTTTGTGGACAAAAATTAAAGTACAATTTTCTAAATAAATATTTAATCAGCTTAAAATTTATAAGTTTTCTTAAAAAAACAAAGATTTTGCCGCATTTTAAATCAATTATCAAGAACTTACAGTTGACCACACTGTTTTCGTGTAATCCATATATTGACAACTGTCATATATTGCGAATTTGCTCTATTTTGGAATTTCTTGTTTTCTCTCTTTTTCCATATGGCATACATGTGCCTGCACAAATAATTGCATTTTTGCCTGCTTTTTGCCTTTTAAAATGCATTTTCTATGAAATACTTTTAATATATTACTCACCGATTTATTATAAAAAACTTAACCATGTTTTCTTAATTAAGTTACGTATTTTTGTAATAGTTTTCTTGTCCATTATTTAATTCAAAACACAACAATTAAGTTTAACACAAAAACTTATTAATTGATTGATTACTGTTGTAATAATTATTATTCTTAACTAATTATATTAGTTTTTTCTATAACAATTAAAGGGTTTACCCCACAATCAAACTCATGCCACTATTTAAAGCAAAAAAAATCGCAATAGAATTATTAAATTATTAAAACAAAATAATTATTGTAATTTTATTAATTATAAAAATGCAAATCATATGACTGATATTGTAATTTGTTTTTTCTTTTTTTTATATTTTATAAGTTCAAACAACTTTAACATTTAGAACGGGTTTTTGAAGGATTTATTTAGTAAATACGTAAAAAGATTACGGGTTTTCAACACTTTTTACGTTTTTGTAAAAAAGAAAGAACTGGTTCCACAAATATTTCTACGTTTTTGTAAATATCTTCTATAAGGTTCAAAAATGTTAATGATGTTAATTGTTTTGTCATATTGATGGTTGCAAAATTCAGTTCTATTTCTAGGTTAGTTCTAGTTCTATTCTAGTTCTGTTTTAGTTCTATTCTAGTTCTGTTCTAGTTCTGTTCTAGTTCAATTCTAGCTCAGTTCTAGTTCTTTTCTAGTTCTATTCTAGTTCTGTTCTAGTTCTAGTTTAGTTCCAGTTTAGTTCTAGTTTAGTTCTGTTCTAGTTCTGTTCTATTTCTATTCTAGTTTGGTTCTAGTTGTGTTCTAATTCTGTTCTAGTTCTGTTCTAGTTCTTTTCTAGATCTGTTCTAGTTCTGTTCTAGTTCTGTTCTAGTTCTGTTCTAGTTCTGTTCTAGTTCTGTTCTAGTTCTGTTCTAGTTCTGTTCTAGTTCTGTTCTAGTTCTGTTCTAGTTCTGTTCTAGTTCTATTCTAGTTCTGTTTTAGTTTTGTTCTAGTTCTGTTCTAGTTCTATTCTAGTTCAGTTCTAGTTCAGTTCTAGTTCAGTTCTAGTTCAGTTCTAGTTCAGTTCTAGTTCAGTTCTAGTTCAGTTCTAGTTCAGTTCTAGTTCAGTTCTAATTCAGTTCTAGTTCAGTTCTAGTTCAGTTCTAGTTCAGTTCTAGTTCTAGTTCAGTTCTAGTTCGTTCTAGTTCAGTTCTAGTTCAGTTCTAGTTCAGTTCTTGTTCACTTCTTGTAGTTCTGTTTTAGTTCTATTCTAGTTCTGTTCTAGTCTGTTCTAGTTTTTGTTCTAGTTCAGTTCAATTCTAGTTTAGTTCTAGTTCTGTTCTAGTTCTGTTTCTAGTTCTGTTCTAGTTCTGTTCTAGTTCTGTCTAGTTCTATTTTAGTTCTGTTCTGTTCTAGTTCTGTTCTAGTTCGTTCTAGTTCTGTTCTAGTTCTGTTCTAGTTCTGTTCTAGTTCTGTTCTAGTTCTGTTCTAGTTCTGTTCTAGTTCTGTTCTAGTTCTGTTCTAGTTCTGTTCTAGTTCTGTTCTAGTTCAGTTCTAGTTTAGTTCTAGTTCAGTTCTAGTTCAGTTTCCAGTTCAGTTCAGTTCAGTTCTAGTTCAGTTCTAGTTCAGTTCTAGTTCAGTTCTAGTTCAGTTCTAGTTCAGTTCTAGTTCAGTTCTAGTTCAGTTCTAGTTCAGTCTAGTTCAGTTCTAGTTCAGTTCTTCAGTTCTAGTTCAGTTCTAGTTCAGTTCTAGTTCAGTTCTAGTTCAGTTCTAGTTCAGTTCTAGTTCAGTTCTAGGTCAGTTCTAGTTCAGGTCTAGTTCAGTTCTAGTTCAGTTCTAGTTCAGTTCTAGTTCTATTTCAGTTCTAGTTCAGTTCTAGTTCAGTGCTAGTTCAGTTCAGGTTCTGTTGTAGTTCAGTTCAGTTCTAGTTCTGTTGTAGTTCAGTTCTAGTTCTGTTCTAGTTCTGTTCTAGCTCTGTTCTAGTTCTGTTCTAGTTCTGTTCTAGTTCTGTTCTAGTTCTGTTCTAGTTCAGTTCTAGTTCAGTTCTAGTTCAGTTCTAGTTCAGTTCTAGTTCAGTTCTAGTTCAGTTCAGTTCTAGTTCAGTTCTAGTTCAGTTCTAGTTCAGTTCTAGTTCAGTTCTAGTTCAGTTCAGTTCTAGTTCAGTTCTAGTTCAGTTCTAGTTCAGTTCTAGTTCAGATCTAGTTCAGTTCTAGTTCAGTTCTAGTTCAGTTCTAGTTCAGTTCTAGTTCAGTTCTAGTTCAGTTCTAGTTCAGTTCTAGTTCAGTTCTAGTTCAGTTCTAGTTCAGTTCTAGTTCAGTTCTAGTTTAGTTCTAGTTCTGTTCTAGTTCTTTTCTAGTTCCAGTTCTAGTTCAGTTTTCATTCAGTTCTAGTCCAGTTCTTCTTCAGTTCTGGTTCAGTTCTAGTTCAGTTAAAATTCAGTTCTTTGTGAGTTTTAAAGCCTAAAACAAAGAAATTTCCATAACTAAAGCTGTTTAGATACAATACTAATTTATAAAGTAACAGGTAGTTTTTTTTTCAAAAAAAAGAGTAAAAAATACCTAAAAAAAGAATTCTAGTTTTCAGGAATTTATTTAAAATGTCCCCTATAAAATATCCTAATTTCCCCTTTTTTATTGAACTGCAAAAGTTTTCTCCTTTTTTCCTAATCATAACTACCTGTTAAAATTTATGCATCCTTTTTTTGAAGTGATTTTAATCTGTCTCTTGATTTAAATATTTTTCCTAATCCTAGTCTAGCAGTCAGTATTAAACTCATTTAAAGTCTAAGCCATACTTATAATATTTATTGTTTTTTCTTTCTTGAGATGGTTTATTAACCTTTTATCTCAATTAAGTGTGACATGCTACCATGAGAATGTTTATTTTCTTTACGATTTTAACAATAACAACAAACGGAAGTAGTCTTGATGTTGTTATTAAAATTAAATGTCTTTTTCGGCTGCGGTTTGCTAGAGTGTTGCCATTGTTGTCTGTGAAAGACTTAAAGGTGTTGTGACCAACACTAATGTCAGTGAGTGAGTGTAAAGATAGCAACATGCACATTAGCGTAATTTGTTAGTGCTGCTAATCTTTTTTCTCTTTCTGACTTTTTGTAGTGTATTTTCATTGTTGTTATTGTGCTGTATAGACAACCAGACCAGACTAGAGGGACTAACAAATCTAATTTAATGGTCAGATTTTTTTCTTTTGTTTTTGCTGGAGTTTTTCCCACTTTAAAACAAAAGACAACTCTCAAATAACAATTATTATTTGTTGCTGTTTTTGTTGGTGTTTGAAAGCCAAAACCCAAAGAATTAGAGTGTAAAAGAAGAAGAACGCGTTTATACAAATACAAAAGAAATTTCCCAAGGGCAACATTTTTATTACCCGAGAAAGAAAATTTCCGTGGAAATTACAACAAAACAGTTAGAAGACATGACATGAAGTAGAGACCAAAACAAAATCGAGAAAAAACAAATTGGGAAAGAATAACAAATGTTATTTAGTTGAATTTTGGTAGTGTTAAAGTTTAGACCTCAAAATGTTCGAACGAACTATGATGTTTAGTAACTTGCGCGTAACTATTTTAATATTGTTTGTTTTGTGTGTTTGTTAAGAAAAAGTTTGTAAACAAAAAGTTACATTAGATTTTTCCTAAAAATGTGTTATTTTTTTAAATTACAGCAATAAGAAACAACAAAAAAACATTGACCAAAATTAAAAATAAATATTAAAAAACTTTTTTCATTAAAAAAAAAAAACAAACAAATAATAAATCTTAACAAAAAACAGTTTAAATTTAAGTTAAAAAAACTTCAAATAATATAAACAATAAAATAAAGTGTTTAACATTTAACAAAACTTCAAAAAAACTATGGCTTCTTTACAACAAAAACGGCCTTCCATATCAAATTGGTTTTCTTCTTTAAGAAGACAGCCGAAAAATAAAAAATCTTCCTCCTTATATGGAGTAGACAAACAATATCAACGTAGCTGTATCGATTTGCCTTCCAGTACTTTTTATGTGGGCCCTAAAACGGGCAAAGATCAGTTTATTTCTTCCTCCACAAATTCACCCATTACCACTAACTCTACCGATAATTTGCTGGAAAATGAGCGTAAATCAAAATCCAATATATGTGCCAGATGTTGCTGCACGATCTTGCCGCCCAAATCAAGATCTCTAACGCCTCCCTCTTCGCCCAATACTAACAGCAATACCATAACACCAGATTCCAATACGCCGACTACATGCTCACCCGCCAGATCTCCTTCAATAAATCCTTATATAAGCATAGCTTCCTATAATAATACCACACCTACTGCCACCACACCTTTAACAGAAGCGCCACCCTCGCCTTATGATAATGTTCAGCAGCAGCCTACCATTTCGTCGTGTACAGTTTATGAAACTGAATTACGTAAAAATGTGGAAATGGTGCGTTTAGAATCGTGTGATTCCGGCAGTTTGGGTTTGTCAGATGTTCCCAGCTCTCCCTTAACGCCCACTAAGCCTACCACTCCTCAAACACCACCCGCCAATGCTACTCATGTCATCAAGAAAACTACAGAATTCCAGCGCTCTTTAACCACCACCACCACACAGACACTCATCGTCTCACGACCCGTTGAACTAATACTCAATGAAAAAGGTGAAATTATCGGCAAAAGACCCAAATCTTTCGATAAAACTTTACGTTCCAACAGTTTGGGTTGTGTATTGGATGAACCCAATGAGTCTGCCGCCCTACCTACCTCTCCACTAAATGAATCTTCACCTTTAATACTCGACTCTCATGACATTAAATTCATCGATGATTCCTCAACATCACAAAGTGAAAATGAACGTAATTCTCAGCAGAGTTGCAATCAGGATATCGCCGAGAAAGAGAATTACTATTATACATTACCTTCGAAATTTAAGAAAACACCACGTTCGAAAGGTATTTCGACGGCGTCGGCGGTTAGTTCACCGCGCACACTTAAGGCTGGCCTTATGTTGAACAATAATGTGGGTAGTTTGTGTGATGACTGTCGCATTGTTATCGAAAGAAATCGTAATAATCGCAATATTCATTATACGAATGCACTGATAACGAATAGGGTAAGTAGAAGTTTTCCTATTGAAAGTTTATTATTTTGGAATACATTATTTACTCTGCTAACGAAGCAAGCAGAACTTTGAATGGAATCCAGACGATTTAGTTTCATTATAGTTCAGTTCTAGTATAGTTGTCTTCGGTTCTAGTTCGATTTAAGTTTAGTTCTAGTATAGGTGTCATCGGTTCTAGTTCGATTCAAGTTTAGTTCTAGTTCAGTTCTAGTTGAGTTCTAGTTGAGTTCTAGTTTAGTTCTAGTTCAGTTCTAGGTCAGTTCTAGTTCAGTTCTAGTTCAGCTCTAGTTCAGTTCTAGTTCAGTTGTAGTTTAGTTCTAGTTTAGTTCTAGTTCAGTTCTAGTTCAGTTCTAGTTCAGCTCTATTTCAGTTCTAGCTCAGTTCTAGTTCACTTCTAATTCACTTCTAGTTCACTTCTAGTTCAGTTCTAGTTCAGTTCTAGTTCAGTTTTAGTTTAGTTTTAGTTCAGTTCTAGTTCAGTTCTAGTTCAGTTCTAGTTCAGTTCTAGTTCAGTTCTAGTTCAGTTCTAGTTTAGTTCTAGTGTAGTTCTAGTTCAGTTCTAGTTCAGTTCTAGTTCAGTTCTAGTTCAGTTCTAGTTCAGTTCTAGTTCAGTTCTAGTTCAGTTCTAGTTCAGTTCTAGTTCAGTTCTAGTTCAGTTTTAGTTCAGTTTTAGTTCAGTTTTAGTTCAGTTCTAGTTTAGTTCTAGTTCAGTTCTAGTTCAGTTCTAGTTTAGTTCTAATTCAGTTCTAGTTCAGTTCTAGTTCAGTTTTAGTTCAGTTCTAGTTTAGTTCTAGTTCTGTTCTAGTTTAGTTCTAGTTTAGTTCTACTTCAGTTCTAGTTCAGTTCTTGTTTAGTTCTAGTTTAGTTCTAGTTCAGTTCTAGTTCAATTCTAGTTCAGTTTTAGTTCAGTTCTTGTTCATTTCGCTTCTTATTGGATTTTCTTTTTTATGTGATATCACTGTTTATCAACTGTCAATTACAGTAAATCTAAAACCAAGTTGGCAACTCCATATAAATAATAACAAAAAAATGAAAGTGTTGTCAAGACGAAATTCAGTTATGCAAATATTATTTGTTTTTGCTTCAGCCAGCAAATAATTTACATATTTGTGTAAAATAATTAATGTGTGATTGCAATTTTTAAAACATTCTAAAAATAAATTGAATGACAGCTAACATTGGAATTTTTTCAAAACAAAAACGATTAATAATACAACAAAATTAAAAAAGTAATATTTAATGACAACACTGATGAGCTCATAAATATTATGAAATGGAATTATTTAATGATCAAGTAAATACAAAACTAAAAAATTTGTAAAAAATAACTAATGACAGAATCTAAAAAACGACTTAAATATTTAAAAATTACAAGACAAAAAACATTTTTTATATTTTTTTTTTAAACTATTAATAAATTTAACATAATTCTGGTTTTATTAGCTAATTTATCAAAAAAATAAAAGATTTTTAAAGCGCTCATAAAAAAACCCGCCATAAAAATGTTGAAAACTAGAAAAAAAATCCCCTAATTACTTATGACAGTTAACAAGTGGTTTCATGTATTCTTCACAACATGTTGCTTGGAAAAACATGTAGAAAGATGAGTTGAAATTTTACACAAAAAATAATAAAACATTTCCTTTAATTAGCTTATAACTACTCTAAAGTAACAACACAATCTATTTTTGAAATTTATATTACAAAAAAAAATCTTCTAAAAACCGGTCCAAAAAAATGCTGAAAAGCATCCATACATAAAATGTGTCCCCCTTGTGAGCTGGAAAAGAAGAGATGAAATAAAATCATGAAATAAATACTGTTTGGCTGCGTGTTATAATTCAAATTCTTTGGCAGAACAACAGAACATTCTTCAGAAATAATTGAAGCGAGAATTAACCCGCTAAAAGCAAAAAGTCTTAAACATTATTTTATGATAGCCAATGCTGTCAGATTGATGGAATATGATAAAGGAACTCCCATCATTGGTTTTTGCAATACTAATTTAGTTTTAGTTCAGTTCTAGTTAAGTTCTAGTTCAGTTCTAGTTCAGTTCTAGTTCAGTTCTAGTTCAGTTCTAGTTCAGTTTTAGTTCAGTTTTAGTTCAGTTCTAGTTTAGTTCTAGTTTAGTTCTAGTGTAGTTCTAGTTCAGTTCTAGTTCTAGTTCAGTTCTAGTTCTAGTTCAGTTCTAGTTCAGTTCTAGTTCAGTTCTAGTTCAGTTCTAGTTCAGTTCTAGTTCAGTTCTAGTTCAGTTCTAGTTCAGTTCTAGTTCAATTCTAGCTCAGTTCTAGTTCAGTTCTAGTTCAGTTCTGGTTCAATTCTAGTTAAATTCTAGTTAAGTTCTAGTTCAGTTCTAATTCAGTTCTAGTTCAGTTCTACTTCAGTTCTATTTCTGTTCTAGTTCAGTTCTAGTTCAGTTCTAGTTCAGTTCTAGTTCAGTTCTAATTCAGTTCTAGTCCAGTTCTAGTCCAGTTCTAGTTCAGTTCTAGTTCAATTCTAGTTAAGTTCTAGTTAAGTTCTAGTTAAGTTCTAGTTAAGTTCTAGTTCAGTTCTAGTTCAGTTCTAGTTCAGTTCTAGTTCAGTTCTAGTTCAGTTCTAGTTCAGTTCTAGTTCAGTTCTAGTTCAGTTCTAGTTCAGTTCTAGTTCAATTCTAGTTAAGTTCTAGTTCAGTTCTAGTTCAGTTCTAGTTCAGTTCTAGTTCAGTTCTAGTTCAGTTCTAGTTTAGTTCTAGTTCAGTTCTAGTTCAGTTCTAGTTCAATTCTAGTTCAGTTCTAGTTCAGTTCTAGTTCAGTTCTAGTTCAGTTCTAGTTCAGTTCTAGTTCAGTTCTAGTTCAGTTCTAGTTCAGTTCTAGTTCAGTTCTAGTTCAGTTCTAGTTCAGTTCTAGTTCAGTTCTAGTTCAGTTCTAGTTCAGTTCTAGTTCAGTTCTAGTTCAATTCTAGTTCAGTTCTAGTTCAGTTCTAGTTCAGTTCTAGTTCAATTCTAGTTAAATTCTAGTTAAGTTCTAGTTCAGTTCTAATTCAGTTCTAGTTCACTTCTACTTCAGTTCTAGTTCAGTTCTATTTCTGTTCTAGTTCAGTTCTAGTTCAGTTCTAGTTCAGTTCTAGTTCAGTTCTAGTTCAGTTCTAGTTCAGTTCTAGTTCAGTTCTAATTCAGTTCTAGTCCAGTTCTAGTCCAGTTCTAGTTCAGTTCTAGTTCAATTCTAGTTAAGTTCTAGTTAAGTTCTAGTTCAGTTCTAGTTCAGTTCTAGTTCAGTTCTAGTTCAGTTCTAGTTCAGTTCTAGTTCAGTTCTAGTTCAGTTCTAGTTCAGTTCTAGTTCAGTTCTAGTTCAGTTCTAGTTCAGTTCTAGTTCAGTTCTAGTTCAGTTCTAGTTCAGTTCTAGTTCAGTTCTAGTTCAGTTCTAGTTCAGTTCTAGTTCAGTTCTAGTTCAGTTCTAGTTCAGTTCTAGTTCAGTTCTAGTTCAGTTCTAGTTCAGTTCCAGTTCAGTTCTAGTTCAGTTCTAGTTCTAGTTCAGTTCTAGTTCAATTCTAGTTCAGTTCTAGTTCAGTTCTAGTTCAGTTCTAGTTCAGTTCCAGTTTAGTTTTAGTTCAGTTCTATTGCAGTTCTAGTTCAGTTCTAGTTCAATTCTAGTTCAGTTCTAGTTCAGTTCTAGTTCGGTTCTAGTTCAGTTCTAGTTCAGTTCTAGTTCAGTTCTAGTTCAGTTCTAGTTCAGTTCTAGTTCAGTTCTAGTTCAGTTCTAGTTCAGTTATAGTTCAGTTCTAGTTCAGTTCTAGTTCAGTTCTAGTTCAGTTCTAGTTCAGTTCTTGTTCAGTTCTAGTTCATTTCTAGTTGTAGTTCTGTTTCAGTTCTGTTCAAGTTCTGTTCTAGTTCTGTTCCTTTCTAGTTCTGTTCTTTTCTAGTTCTGTTTTATTATGTTCTTTTCTAGTTCTGTTCTATTATGTTCTAGTTCTGTTCTTGTTCTGTTCTAGTTCTGTTCTAGTTCTGTTCTAGTTCTGTTCTAGTTCTGTTCTAGTTCTGTTCTAGTTCTGTTCTAGTTCTGTTCTAGTTCAGTTCTAGATCAATTCTAATTCAGTTCTGTTCTAGCTCTGTTCTTTTCTAGTTCAGTTCTATTTCAGTTCTAGTTCAGTTCTAGATCAGTTCTAGATCAATTCTAGTTCAGTTCTAGTTCTGCTTCTACTCTCTTCAATTGTTTTTCTGTTCCATTTCAGTTCTATATGTTTTAAAGGGTTAATCTTTAGTAATCTTTCTCGTTTCTTTTTCATATACATTTTCTAAACAACAAGCGCCTTTATAAATAACTCATCACTATTTGAACGTCTTCTTTACCAAACTCATGTTGAAAACTATCATCTAACAGCCTTTATTTTTATCTATTTAACTGTCTTCTTTTGGCGTTTTGTTTTTTTTTTTCATGATACAAACGTCATTAGATATTGTTTTTATTATTTTTTAATTTAAAACCAACAGGTTTTTCATTCTTCTTACCTCGCTTAACAACTCGTAATTAGTATAATTGATTAAGATTGAGAAAAAAATATAAACAAATCTTATCGGTGGAAGAAACTTGAAGATAAAGATGATTATGAGAATAAGAAAAACTGGCCAACTTGACGACTACTAGTTTTTGTTACAATTGTGTATGTTAATATTGTGACAGGTTTTCGGAATTATAATTATTTTTACTTGTTATTAACTTGGTGTAACCGAAACAGAGCGGTTAAAGTTCTTTGAACTTTTTATTTTATTTTTTTTTTTCTATTTTATAATTGAGATATTTTGTTAAAAGTATTTGATAAATAGAGTTGGGAAGGAATTCATTTATCTGGCATCTCTACTTACGCGTAATAATGACAGTACTAAAATCATCACTTGTTTGACAGTGCTGCCAATATAGCGATAACAAAGAGGTGATGTTATAATTCCTTAGATGTTTATTTTAATCGAATTTTAGTTTTAATTAGAAAAATTATAAGCTAAACGTGAACTCTTTTTATACATTTAAACTTTCAAATCTTCTCAAAAACTTTATTCTTGCCACAAGAAATTTAAAACTTTAACCATTAAGAATCAATCAAATACATCAGATTAAAACTTCATTTCCTTATTACGAACAAAAAAAAAATTAAAGAAAAACTATTGAAGTCTTATAAAAATAAAGACAAAGTATAAAATTACCACAAAACAAAACAGAAATATGTCAACTTTGTAAACAAAGCTAACTGTCACTTTACTCGGTTTATATGAATATGACAAAAAAAACTGTCAATTTGACAAATACTAGAAATGAACGTGTAAAAGTTTGTTTGTTTTTTTTTTTACAAAAGAAAATGATTAAAATGTATTAAAATACAAAACATTACACAAATCTAGATCATGGTTGATTTAAATAAAAAAAAGTGCCTGTGTTAAGAAGCCACTCAAGTTACGCTGAGAAAACAAAATAATACAAACAAAAACTATAATACATGCAGCTTAAATTAAAAGCTCTTCTTGCTAAGTTTTTTTTTTAAATTTGCATAAAATGCATTACAAAAAAATGGAATAATAAATATATAAACTTAAAAAAAGACCCACAATAACTAGCAATTGATATTTTCCGGTTTGTAAATTATTAAAAAAAAAAAAAACGTGTCAATGTTGAACAAATTTTTTTTCAAAAACTTCCTAAAAACTACTTAAAAATATTAATTTATTGGCCATTATCTAAAAACAAAAACGAATATTTAAAAAAAATTGCGGTTTATGGATTTTTATAATAATTGACCAATTAAATTTTATTAAAATTTAACTACATTGTATATTTAAATGCATTTTTTAGTTTTTTTATCTAAATTAGCTTGAAATATGACTGAAATGCAATTAAAACGTCAAAATGCTGAGCGCTAAAATGTGTTTTGTAGCTAAATTTGACTTCAGTAAAGGTCCCATATATATTTAAGAACTTAATGAATATACCAAGAGCAACTATTCTATAGGAATAGCTCTGTCATAATGTAAACAATTTTGCCATTAAAAAGCTGTCATTATGTGAGCAATTTTTCTACAAAAAAGCTGTCACAATCTGAGCAACTTTTGTATAGGAAAATTTGACACAATGTGAGCAACTTTTACATAGATAAAGCCGAAACAATGTGAGCAACTTTTCTATAAAAAGAAGTGGCCAGAATGTGAGCAACTTTTCTATAGAAAAAGCGGCAATAATGTGAGCAACTTTTCTATAAAAAAGCGGCAACAATGGCAGCAACTTTTCTTTGAAAAAAAGTTGTCACAATGTGAGCAACTTTTCTATAGAAAACGCTGTCACAATGTGAGCAACTTTTCTATAGAAAACGCTGTCACAATGTGAGCAACTTTTCTTTAGAAAACGCTGTCACAATGTGAGCAAATTTTCTATAGAAAACGCTGTCACAATGTGAGCAATTTTTCTATAGAAAAAGTTGTCACAATGTGAGCAACTTTTCTATAGAAAAAGTTGTCACAATGTGAGCAACTTTTCTATAGAAAAAGTTGTCACAATGTGAGCAACTTTTCTATAGAAAAAGCTGTCACAATGTGAGCAACTTTTCTATAGAAAAAGCTGTCACAATGTGAGCAACTTTTCTATAGAAAAAGTTGTCAAAATGTGAGCAACTTTTCGATAGAAAAAGCTGTGAAAGTGTGAGCATCTTTTGTGTGCAACAATGTGAGCAACTTTGCTATAGAAGAAGCTGTCACAATGTGAGCAACTTTTCTATAGAAGAAGCTGTTACAATGTGAGCAACTTTTATATAGAAAAAGCCGTCACAATGTGAGTAACTTTTCAATAGAAAAAGCTGTCAAAATGTGAGCAACTTTTCTGCAGAAAAAGCTGTCACGATGTGAGCAAGTTTTCTATAGAAAAAGTTGTCACAAAGTTGTTTCTCTATAGAAAAAGTCAAGTGCTCCGCATTAAACTGATAAAAAATGTACACCTCTATACCAGAAAGATGATCCAGATACTCGTCCCGAAAATTTGATCCGCTCTCTTGCAATTTTCGTCTAGTCTTCACAACAAGATTTTCTCCTTAATTTCGCCTTCTCTAATTCATTTAACATTTTGTCGCTTTAACGCCTTAATTGTAATCGAGTTTATTATAAACATTTAAAATTTAATCATTTTAGAGCGTATCTCTTTAATCAGACACCCAGTATTAATGTGTGTGATTTAAAAAAAAAATAATAAATAAAAAAATGTATTTTTATTAAATTAAACTCAATGTGTGGGCCATGTGGTGCCCTGGTACGTATGTTAATAATAATAAAAAAATGTTTTAATTTTCTGATTTTGATAATTTTTAATTTAATTATCTTTTTTTCTTTTTTGCAAAAATGTCTTTGACAGCATTTTGTTATATGGATTTATAAACATTTTATTACTTACAGTTGTTTTATTATGTATTTAATCATTTAATTTGCAAAATTTGTTTAATATTTTGTTGTTGTTGTGTGCTGTCGATGGCGTGTATTGTTTTTTATGTAGCAGACCAATAAACTTAATTGAACTTTAAAAAAAAATTAAAATGAAAAAATGCATTTAAAATTTGATTGGCATTTATAAAAAAACTATGCCAGAGTTTTAATATTAAATTTTATTATAATAAACATTGCTTTTTAAGTTTTTTTTTTTTTTTTTCAATTTGTTTAAAACTTCCGTAAAATTTATTGAATTTTTGCTAAAATTTGGAGGTTTTATAAAAAGGAAGTTTAATAAATTTATTAATAAATTACAGATTGTTTTAACTTTTTTTTAAGTTTTAAAAATAATTCAATATTTTTGTTTTTCTTTATATTTTTAGCAAATCAAAGATGAATTATGCGAAGTGGTTTCCGAAATGGAGGCACTCGATGTGCCCGAAGACTGTAAACATTCCAATAAAGATAAACAAATGTCCATTGGACGTAAGAAATTTAATATGGATCCCAAAAAAGGTATGGAAAACTATAATTTAAATCAAAACTTTTAAAATTAAAATGTTTTATCAAAAATAAAGGTTTCAATGCTAAAAATCTTACATTTACTTTTAAACAATTGGCATCACTCTTTTAAAACAGGGTTGCTAAGTAAGATAACTTAAAAAAGTAAACATTAACAAAGTTGTTAAGGAAAGTATCCAACTGGCATGGAAAATTCGGTACTATAGTCTAGTCTATAGTCTAGACTATAGTCTAGTCTATAGTCTAGTCTAGACTATAGTCTAGTCTATAGTCTAGTCTAGACTATAGTCTAGTCTATAGTCTAGTCTATAGTTTAGTCTATAGTCTAGTCTATAGTCTAGTCTATAGTCTAGTCTATAGTCTAGCCTATAGTCTAGTCTATAGTATAGTCTATAGTCTAGTCTATAGTCTAGTCTATAGTCTAGTCTATATTCTAGTCTATAGTCTAGTCTATAGTCTAGTCTATAGTCTAGTCTATAGTTTAGTCTATAGTCTAGTCTATAGTCTAGTCTATAGTCTAGTCTATAGTCTAGTCTATATTCTAGTCTATAGTCTAGTCTATAGTCTAGTCTATAGTCTAGTCTATAGTTTAGTCTATAGTCTAGTCTATAGTCTAGTCTATAGTCTAGTCTATAGTCTAGTCTATAGTCTAGTCTATAGTCTAGTCTATAGTCTGGTCTATATTCTAGTCTATAGTCTAGTCTATAGTCTAGTCTATAGTCTAGTCTATAGTCTAGTCTATAGTCTAGTCTATAGTCTAGTCTATAGTCTAGTCTATAGTCTAGTCTATAGTCTAGTCTATAGTCTAGTCTATAGTCTAGTCTATAGTCTAGTCTATAGTCTAGTCTATAGGCTAGTCTATAGTCTAGTCTATAGTCTAGTCTATAGTCTAGTCTATAGTCTAGTCTATAGTCTAGTCTATAGGCTAGTCTATAGGCTAGTCTATAGTCTAGTCTATAGTCTAGTCTATAGTCTAGTATATAGATTAGACTATAGACTAGACTGTAGACTAGTCTATAGGCTAGTCTATAGTCTAGTCTATAGTCTAGTCTATAGTCTAGTCTATAGTCTAGTCTATAGTCTAGTCTATAGTCTAGTCTATAGTCTAGTCTATAGTCTAGTCTACAGTCTAGTCTATAGTCTAATCTATAGTCTAGTCTATAGTCTAGTCTATAGTCTAGTCTATAGTCTAGTCTATGGTCTAGTCTATAGTCTAGTCTATAGTCTAGTCTATAGTCTAGTCTATAGTCTAGTCTATAGTCTAGTCTATAGTCTAGTCTATAGTCTAGTCTATAGTCTAGTCTATAGTCTAGTCTATAGTCTAGTCTATAGTCTAGTCTATAGTCTAGTCTATAGTCTAGTCTATAGTCTAGTCTATAGTCTAGTCTATAGTCTAGTCTATAGTCTAGTCTATAGTCTAGTCTATAGTCTAGTCTATAGTCTAGTCTATAGTCTAGTCTATAGTCTAGTCTATAGTCTAGTCTATAGTCTAGTCTATAGTCTAGTCTATAGTCTAGTCTATAGTCTAGTCTATAGTCTAGTCTATAGTCTAGTCTATAGTCTAGTCTATAGTCTAGTCTATAGTCTAGTCTATAGTCTAGTCTATAGTCTAGTCTATAGTCTAGTCTATAGTCTAGTCTATAGTCTAGTCTATAGTCTAGTCTATAGTCTAGTCTATAGTCTAGTCTATAGTCTAGTCTAGTCGTCTATAGTCTAGTCTATAGTCTAGTCTATAGTCTAGTCTATAGTCTAGTCTATAGTCTAGTCTATAGTCTAGTCTATAGTCTAGTCTATAGTCTAGTCTATAGTCTAGTCTATAGTCTAGTCTTAGTCTAGTCTATAGTCTAGTCTATAGTCTAGTCTATAGTCTAGTCTATAGTCTAGTCTATAGTCTAGTCTATAGTCTAGTCTATAGTCTAGTCTATAGTCTAGTCTATAGTCTAGTCTATAGTCTAGTCTATAGTCTAGTCTATAGTCTAGTCTATAGTCTAGTCTATAGTCTAGTCTATAGTCTAGTCTGTAGTCTAGTCTATAGTCTAGTCTATAGTCTAGTCTATAGTCTAGTCTATAGTCTAGTCTATAGTCTAGTCTATAGTCTAGTCTATAGTCTAGTCTATAGTCTAGTCTATAGTCTAGTCTATCGTCTAGTCT